CATTCGCCACTAAGTGGCGGTGACGTCACCACGATGCTTGTGCCAGGCCAAGTGCACCTTGAGGCCACGTGAAGTGTCGAAAGCCCGCTGGCAGGAGGTCACGGGGCAGACCCAGGTGCCACGGGTCGACTGACCGAGATGACCGAGATGACTGGCTGATGCACCAACTGTGCCCCCTACTGTGCCAACTTGCTGTGCTTTAGCCACCCGGCGCTCCGCTCGTTGTTGTGAGCGTCGCTCCTCCGCCCTCCGTTGTTGTTGGAGGGCGACTGCCTCCAACTGCCCAGTAGCGTCCTTCACGAGCCTCCTCCACTGAGGCCGATCTTGACACCGCTGGTACCAGTCATCGGCAAGTCCACTCAGCTCCACGTCCTCCTGTACCACATCACTCCATCTCTTCTCCAGCCCGTGCCGCGCCCGTCTAGCCCCCTCGATCCGGCCGAACAAAAGCTGTTTAGGCATGCGGTGGCTGGGCATGCGGGCTACATGACCCAGCCAACGCAGCCTTGCCTGCCGGAGGAGCTCACTGATGGGACTTTGCCCAGATCTTTCAAGGATTTGTGAGCTCCTCACACAATCCAGCCTGGTTAAACCCAGGATGGATCGTAGGCAGGCCAGCCTAAATGTTTCCAACCGGCGAAGATGCTCCACCAGGGGGGTCCACGTCTCGCAAGCGTAGAGAAGGGAGGGAATGACCGTGGCCGAGAAGACCTGAAGCTTCGTGCGGAGCGACAGACCAGGTAGCTTCCACACAGCGTTACGCAACCGATGAAAAGATATTGCCGCTCGACTGATTCGGAGTGAGACCTCTGCTGATAGACTGGAGCCGGTCATAAGCACACTGCCCAGGTATGGGAAACTCTCCACTCTCTCCACAACTGCCCCATCACCAATTGGGAGTTGTGGGGGTGGAGTGTCCGATGGTACAAAATACCCAGGCAGGTGCTTGGTTTTGGTGGGGCTGATGGTAAGGCCCCACCTCTTAGTGGCACGCTCCAGTCTCAGCAGCAGCGTCTCCAACTCCTCTTCTGAAGGAGCAGCTATTACCAAATCATCGGCATACATAACGTGGTTGACCCATAGGGAGCCATCCCTTGATCGCACCCGGGCGTCGATCATCCTCCCATTATATCTGTACCAAATGGAAATTCCCCCGGTACAGCTATTGAAGGCTTCACGAACTACGCAGTCGAAATATATGTTAAATAATGTGGGAGCCAGAGGACATCCCTGTCGCACCCCAAGGTGTACAGGGAAAGGCTCCGACTCCCGGCCACGTAGTTTTACCCGGGCCTGCTCACCATCATGAAGGTCCTTAATGATCGTGAGCAGAGGGTCACGGACACTGAAAGCACGAAGAACAACCCAGAGCCCAGGCCTACTGATGGCATCATCGGCCTTGACCAGGTCAATTAAGCAGAGATGTAGGTCTTTTTGGAATTCCCTACACCTCTGCTGTAGCAGACGGACAGAAAATATGGCATCTGTGCAGGACCGCCCTTTCCTGAAACCGCATTGGGGTTCCGCAAGCCTCTCCTCAGCGTGCCTAGCAAGGCGATGTTGAATAATCCTTGCCAGGACCTTTCCCGGCACACTGAGGAGTGGGATGCCCCTGTAGTTGTTACAGTCTGTGCGGTCCCCCTTCTTAAAGAGGGGGACCACCAGGGCAACCTTCCAATCCTGCGGTACCCGTCCAGCGGTCCAGACTGTTGTTATGATGTCATGTAGGGCAATCTGTGCCCATGCCTTCCAATCACTCCAGACCAGGTGCCAGCATCATGACCAACTCTGGCATTGAAGTCACCCAACAAGATGACTCTGTCCCGAGTGGCCACTTTAGCCAGCACCTGTGACAGGAGGTCATAGAAAGTGTCTGACTCATCAGCTTTGCCTGCATCCCTCCATGGATGTTCGTCTTCGGTGGGGGCATAAGTAACCACGACCACCACTCCTCGCCTCTGGTTGATGGGAAGGCGAGCCCAAAGTATCCTGGGGCTTACAGCTTCCCACACCTCACCGCCACGCTCCCACGCCCCCTTCATTCTTTTGTTCAGAAGAAGAGCCACACCCTGTTGTTTGGCAGTCTCCTGCCCCGAGTAGAGGATTGTCCACCCCTCATGGTGGCAGGAGCCAGAACCGGTCCACCGGACCTCCTGAATGCCACAGAGATCCAGGCGGTACCGGTCCAGCTCCCGACAGAGGAGTGGCAGCCTCTCCTCTGCAGTGAGCGTTCGAACATTCTACGTGGCCATCCGTAATGGCTTTTCGTTGTTTCTGGAGGAGCCCCGAGGGTGAAGATTCAATATCCTGGCTCCGCCAATTGGGGTTTGGCCAGGAGACGTCATAGACGCCTGTCCCCCCGGGGCCTCCGGCACAAGCTAATTAGTTACAGGTTTATGTTTAATTCGTAGTTTCGTGGTACTGAATTGAAGGTGAAGGGGTTACCAGCCCCTCGCACCCATCCAGAGCCCCCGTTTAGCCACTGTGGTGGTCACAGACGCCATGAGGGGAGAGGCCAATGAGGCATTGGGCCTCCCCCCACAGCACTGCCCACGACAGTGTACACAAACAGCTACACACACACACCTACACACACACACACCTACACACACATCTACACACACACACCTACACGTACATCTACATCTGCAGAACCAGCGACATCTACATACACAGAAGGTGAAGAACCAGTGACATCTATAGAACATGAAGAACCAGTGGCATCTACATATACGGAACGTAAAGAACCAGTGGCATCTACAGAATGTGAAGAACCAGTGGCATCTACATCTGTAGAACGTGAAGAACCAGTGGCATCTACATCTACAGAACATGAAGAACCAGTGGCATCTACATCTACAGAACATGAAGAACCAGTGGCATCTACAGAATGTGAAGAACCAGTGACATCTACATCTGCAGAACGTGAAGAACCAGTGGCATCTACATCTACAGAACGTGAAGAACCAGTGGCATCTGCATCTACAGAACATGAAGAACCAGTGGCATCTATATCTACAAAACGTGAAGAACCAGTGGCATCTACATCTGCAGAACGTGAAGAACCTGTGGCATCTACATCTACAGAATGTGAAGAACCAGTGGCATCTGCATCTACAGAACATGAAGAACCAGTGGCATCTACATCTACAAAACGTGAAGAACCAGTGGCATCTACAGAATGTGAAGAACCAGTGGCATCTACATCTGCAGAACGTGAAGAACCAGTGGCATCTACATCTACAGAACGTGAAGAACCAGTGGCATCTGCATCTACAGAACATGAAGAACCAGTGGCATCTATATCTACAAAACGTGAAGAACCAGTGGCATCTACATCTGCAGAACGTGAAGAACCTGTGGCATCTACATCTACAGAATGTGAAGAACCAGTGGCATCTGCATCTACAGAACATGAAGAACCAGTGGCATCTATATCTACAAAACGTGAAGAACCAGTGGCATCTACATCTGCAGAACGTGAAGAACCTGTGGCATCTACATCTACAGAACGTGAAGAACCAGTGGCATCTGCATCTACAGAACATGAAGAACCAGTGGCATCTACATCTACAAAACGTGAAGAACCAGTGGCATCTACATCTCTGGAACGTGAAGAACCAGTGGCATCTATATCTACGGAACATTACGAACCAGTGGCATCTACATCTTCAGAACATGAAGAACCAATGGCATCTACATCTGTAGAACGTGAAGAACCAATGGCATCTACATCTGTAGAACGTGAAGAACCAGTGGCATCTACATCTGTAGAACATGAAGAACCAGTGACATCTACATCTGTAGAACATGAAGAACCAGTGGCATCTACATCTGTAGAACGTGAAGAACCAATGGCATCTACATCTTCAGAACATGAAGAACCAGTGGCATTTACATCTGCAGAACATGAAGAACCAGTGGCATCTACATCTGCAGAACATGAAGGACCAGTGGCATCTACATCTGCAGAATGTGAAGAACCAGTGGCATCTACATCTACCAGGCGATTGTACAACCTTTAAAGCCATTCCCCGTGTTTAGTGTACAGATGTAGATGCAGCTGGTTAAGAAAAAAACGCCACTTTTTTCAAATTTTCTTGCTGTGGTTTTCACACCTGATGATGATTGCTGCTTGTGTTGCAGTCGAAACGTCGTGAGAATCTTATTGTTTCATATATTTATTATTTTTCGATTTTAAAGCTTTCGTGACTGCAGGGATTCATCTTCTTGGTTCTTTTGGTAAAGTCACGTAGAAGGGAAATAATAAAAATCAAACATAATAAAATACAATTCTCACGACGTTACGGCCACAACGCAAGCAGCCGTCCTCAGGTGAAGAACAGGTCTGTCGCAAATACAGCGTCTGATTGAGCACCACCAAGCTTGGCAGCGTATATTTAAGCTGGGTTGGATGGGGAAGGGTGCTTTGACAAATACATTTGCATTTCAAGAGGAATTTTGCATATTTATGGGCAATGCAGATATGGGATTAGTCACTACTTGTGGAATGTGTAGGAGGTGGGTGGGGGGGGGGGTTCAAAGTCATATTCTGCCCGTGCATTATGCAGGATTAGCAGCATCAAAGGGAGGGAGTAGGGTTAGCAGTAATGGAGGGAAGGTAACTTATTTGACGTGTGTGTATCAAGATAGTTTATTGGTTCGTTCGGTAAAGTCACGTAGCAGGGAAACAATCAAATAAAAAATAAAATCAAAATTAAAAAAATTCTCACGACGTTTCGACTGCAACACAAGCAAGCGTCACCAGATCTGAGAAAATGTCGTGCTTGTCACACCTGATGATGATTGCTTGTGTTGCAGTCGAAACGTCGTGAGAATTGTATCGTTTTATATTTATTATTATTTTATTGTTTCCCTTTTACGTGACTTTACCTAAAGAACCAAGAATATGTATCCCTGCAGTCGCGAAACTTCAAATCAAACTTTAGTTTGAGTCCCTGTTGCATTACTCAACATCACCCCACCCCGTTTGCGCGAAGGTCCATGTACGGACGCCTCGTCATCCAGGCCTTCAGCTTCGATCAGCCCTTCCAGCCCCATCTGAAGGACTCCTTCGTGCTGGTGAGGCTCTCTCATGGGGAGTGTGGAGGGGTGGAGGTGAAGCGGCAGTAGGAGACACGCAGATGGAGACGTTGACTACATCGCCTGGTGGACAGGAGGTCGTGGGTTCGATCTTGACCCTGACGATGTCTGAGTGGTGAGATGTTGACTACCTCGCGTGGTGGACAGGAGGTCGTGGGTTCTACCCCGATCCTCACGATGCCTGCTGCTGCTGTAGATGTGGAGTCTGAGTGTCTCTCTCTCTCATCATCATCACGGTGGCTATGAGATGTTGACTACCTCGCCTGGTGCACAGGAGGTCGTGGGTTCGATCCCGACCCTGACGATGTCTGAGTGAGTGGGTGAGATGTTGACTACCTCGCCTGGTGTGCAGGAGGTCGTGGGTTCGATCTTGACCCTGACGATGTCTGGGTGAGTGGGTGAGATGTTGACTACCTCGCCTGGTGTACAGGAGGTCGTGGGTTCGATCCCGACTCCTGACAATGTCTGAGTGAGTGGGTGAGATGTTAACTACCTCGCTTGGTACACAGGAGGTCGTGGGTTCGATCTTGACCCTGACAATGTCTGATTGAGTGGGTGAGATGTTGACTATCTCGCCTGGTGTGCAGGAGGTCGTGGGTTTGATCTTTACCCTGACGATGCCTGAGTGAGTGGTGAGACGTTGACTACCTCGCCTGGTGGACAGGAGGTCGTGGATTCGATCTTGACCCTGACGATGTCTGAGTGGGTGAGATGTTGACTACCTCGCCTGGTGTACAGGAGGTCGTGGGTTCGATCTTGACCCTGACGATGTCTGAGTGAGTGGGTGAGACGTTGACTACCTCGCCTGGTGCACAGGAGGTTGTGGGTTCGATCTTGACCCTGACGATGTCTGAGTGGGTGGGTGAGACGTTGACTACCTCGCCTGGTGCACAGGAGGTCGTGGGTTCGATCTTGACCCTGGCGATGACTGAGTGAGTGGGTGAGATGTTGACTACCTCGCCTGGTGTACAGGAGGTCGTGGGTTCGATCCCGACTCCTGACAATGTCTGAGTGAGTGGGTGAGATGTTAACTACCTCGCTTGGTGCACAGGAGGTCGTGGGTTCGATCTTGACCCTGACGATGTCTGATTGAGTGGTGAGATGTTGACTACCTCGCCTGGTGTACAGGAGGTCGTGGGTTCGATCTTGACCCTGACGATGTCTGAGTGGGTGGGTGAGATGTTGACTACCTCGCCTGGTGTACAGGAGGTCGTGGATTTGATCTTGACCCTGACGATGTTTGAGTGAGTGGGTGAGATGTTGGCTACCTCGCCTGGTGTACAGGAGGTCGTGGGTTCGATCCCGACCCTGACGATGTCTGAGTGAGTGGGTGAGATGTTGACTACCTCGCCTGGTGTACAGGAGGTCGTGGATTTGATCTTGACCCTGACGATGTTTGAGTGAGTGGGTGAGACGTTGACTACCTCGCCTGGTGGATAGAGACGCACAGACTCGCATATAGACCCACAGACTGCCACCACCACCACCAGCACCTCCACCACAACTATCACCACCACTTCCACCATCAACACCACCACCACAACCACCACAACCACTACCACCACCATCACCACCACCACTACCACCACCACCACTACCACCACTACCACGACCACCACCACTACTACCACCACCACTACCAACACCACCACTACCACCACTACCACCACCACTACCACCACCACCACTACTACCACCACCACTACCCTGCTACCACCACTACCACCACCACCACCACCCCTACCACCACCACTACCACCACCACCACTACCACTACCCCCAATCTCCCCACCACCACCAATACCACCACTACCACCACCACTACCACCACCACTACCACTACCACCACCACCACCACCTCTGTCACGTGATCTGTGTCCAGGACTTCCTCAGGGACCCAGCGGTGGCAGCCAATCTCATCGTCGTCCCTCCCAGAGGGGCCTGGACCAGTCTGGGTGAGCACTCACTCACCACTCACCACTCACTCACCACTCACTCACTCACTCACCACTCACCCACTCACTCACCACTCACCACTCACTCACCACTCACTCACTCACTCACCACTCACCCACTCACTCACTCACCACTCACTCACTCACTCACCACTCACTCACCACTCACTCACTCACTCACCACTCACCCACTCACCCACTCACTCACTCACCACTCACTCACTCACCACTCACCCACTCACTCACTCACTCACCACTCACTCACTCACTCACCACTCACCCACTCACTCACTCACTCACCACTCACTCACTCACTCACCACTCACTCACTCACTCACCACTCACCCACTCACTCACTCACTCACCCACTCACTCACTCACCACTCACCTCACTCACCCACTCACTCACCACTCACCCACCACTCACCCACTCACCACTCACTCACCCACTCACTCACTCACTCACTCACCCACTCACCACTCACTCACCACTCACTCACCACTCACTCACACACTCACCACTCACTCACTCACTCACCACTCACTCACCACTCACTCACTCACACACTCACCACTCACTCACCACTCACTCACCACTCACTCACTCACCACTCACTCACCACTCACTCACCACTCACTCACCACACAGACTCACTCACCACACAGATTCACTCACCACTCACTCACTCACCACTCACTCACTCACCACTCACTCACCACTCACCACACACTCACTCACCACTCACTCACCACTCACCACACAGAGACACCCATAGACCCACCACACAGACTCACCACACAAAGACCCATATACTCACCACACAGAGAGACCCATAGACTCACCACACAGACTCACCACACAGAGAGACCCATAGACTCACCACACAGAGACACCCTTAGACTCACCACATAGACTCACCACACAGACTCACCACACAGAGAGACCCATAGACTCACCACACAGACTCACCACACAGACTCACTACACAGAGAGACCCATAGACTCACCACACAGACTCACCACACAGACTCACCACACAGATTCACTACACAGACTCACCACACAGAGACACCCATAGACTCACCACACAGACTCACCACACAGAGACACCCTTAGACTCACCACACAGACTCACCACACAGAGACACCCTTAGACTCACCACATAGACTCACCACACAGACTCACCACACAGAGAGACCCATAGACTCACCACACAGACTCACCACACAGACTCACTACACAGAGAGACCCATAGACTCACCACACAGACTCACCACACAGACTCACCACACAGATTCACTACACAGACTCACCACACAGAGACACCCATAGACTCACCACACAGACTCACCACACAGAGACACCCTTAGACTCACCACACAGACTCACCACACAGAGAGACCCATAGACTCACCACACAGACTCACCACACAGACTCACCACACAGACTCACTACACAGAGAGACCCATAGACTCACCACACAGACTCACCACACAGACTAACCACACAGACTCACTACACAGACTCACTACACAGAGAGACCCATAGACTCACCACACAGACTCACCACACAGACTCACTACACAGACTCACTACACAGAGAGACCCATAGACTCACCACACAGACTCACCACACAGACTCACTACACAGACTCACTACACAGAGAGACCCATAGACTCACCACACAGACTAACCACACAGACTCACTACACAGACTCACCACACAGAGACACCCATAGACTCACCACACAGACTCACCACACAGAGACACCCTTAGACTCACCACACAGACTCACCACACAGAGAGACCCATAGACTCACCACACAAACTCACCACACAGACTCACCACACAGACTAACCACACAGACTCACTACACAGACTCACCACACAGAGACACCCATAGACTCACCACACAGACTCACCACACAGAGACACCCTTAGACTCACTACACAGACTCACCACACAGAGAGACCCATAGACTCACCACACAGACTCACCACACAGACTCACCACACAGACTCACTACACAGACTCACTACACAGAGACACCAGCTGGGTGAGAAATCGGCCAACAGCGTGCGTGTTTCTGTGTGTCTCTGTGTGTCTCTGTCTGTGCGTGTCTCTGCGTGTCTCTGTGTGTCTCTGTCTGTGCGTGTCTCTGCGTGTCTCTGTGTGTCTCTGTTTGTGCGTGTCTCTGTGTGTCTCTGTGTGCGTGTCTCTGTGTGCGTGTCTCTGTGCGTGTCTCTGCGTGTCTCTGTGTGTCTCTGTCTGTGCGTTTCTCTGTTTGTGCGTGTCTCTGTGTGTCTCTGTGTGTCTCTGTCTGTGTGTGTCTCTGTGTGTCTCTGTGTGCGTGTCTCTGTGCGTGTCTCTGCGTGTCTCTGCGTGTCTCTGTCTGTGCGTGTCTCTGAGTGTCTCTGTGTGTGTCTTTGTGTGTGTCTCTATGTGTTTCTGTCTGTTCGTGTCTCTCTGTGTCTCAGTGTGTCTCTGTGTGTGTCTCTGTGTCTCTGTGTGTGTGTCTCTGTGTATCTCTGTCTGTGCGTGTCTCTGTGTGTCTCTGTCTGTGTGTCTCTGTCTGTGCGTGTCTCTGTGTGTCTGTGTGTGTGTCTCTGTGTGTGTGTCTCTGTGTGTGTCTGCGTGTCTCTGTGTGTCTCTGTGTGTGCGTGTCTGTGTGTGTCTCTGTGTGTGTCTCTGTCAGTGTGTGTCTCTGTCTGTGTGTGTCTCTGTGTGTGTCTCTGTGCGTGTCTCTGTGTTTACGTGTCTCTGCGTGTGCGTGTCTCTGCGTGTGCATGCCCCGTGCACAGCGTGTCTGTGTGTGTCTCTATCTGTGTGTGTCTCTGTGTGTGTCTCTGTGCGTGTCTCTGTGTTTACGTGTCTCTGCGTGTGCGTGTCTCTGCGTGTGCATGCCCCGTGCACAGCGTGTCTGTGTGTGTCTCTATCTGTGTGTGTCTCTGTGTGTGTCTCTGTGCGTGTCTCTGTGTTTACGTGTCTCTGCGTGTGCGTGTCTCTGCGTGTGCATGCCCCGTGCACAGCGTGTCTGTGTGTGTCTCTATCTGTGTGTGTCTCTGTCGGTGCGTGTCTCTATCTGTGTGTGTCTCTGTGTTTATGTGTCTCTCTCTCTGTGCGTGTCTCTATCTGTGTGTGTCTCTGTGTTTTTGTGTCTCTCTCTGTGCGTGTCTCTGTGTTTACGTGTCTCTGTGTGCGCGTGTCTCTGCGTGTGCAGGCCCCGTGCACAGTGTGTCTGTGCGTGTCTCTGTGTGTGTCTCTGTGTTAACGTGTCTCTGCGTGTGTCTCTGTGTGTCTCTGTGCGTGTCTCTGTGTGTCTCTGTGTGTGTCTCTGTGTGTGTCTCTGTGTGTGTCTCTGTGCATGTCTCTGTGTGTGTCTCTGTGTTCACGTGTCTCTGTGTGTGTCTCTGTGCGTGTCTCTGTGCGTGTCTCTGTGCGTATCTCTGTGCGTATCTCTGTGTGTCTCTGTGTGTCTCTGTGTGTGTCTCTGTGTGTCTCACTGTGTGTCTCACTGTGTGTCTCACTGTGTGTGTCTCTGTGTGTGTCTCTGTGTGTGTCTCTGTGTGTCTGTGTGTGTCTCTGTGCGTGTCTCTGTGTGTGTCTCTGTGCGTGTCTCTGTGCGTGTCTCTGTGGGTGTCTCTGTGTGTGTCTCTGTGTTAACGTGTCTCTGTGCGTGTCTCTGTGTGTGTCTCTGTGTGCGCGTGTCTCTGTGTGTGTCTCTGTGTGTGTCTCTGCGCGTGTCTCTGTGTGTGTCTCTGTGTTAACGTGTCTCTGTGCGTGTCTCTGTGTGTGTCTCTGTGTGCGCGTGTCTCTGTGTGTGTCTCTGTGTGTGTCTCTGTGTGTGTCTCTGTGTGTGTCTCTGTGTGTGTCTCTATCTGTCTGCGCGTGTCTCTGCGTGTGCAGGCCCTGTACACGGCGTGTCTGTGCGCCCCGTGCGCTGCTCCCAGCTCTCTGTGTGTGTCTCTGTGTGTGTCTCTGTGTGTGTCTCTATCTCTGTGTGTGTGTCTCTGACTGTGCGTGTCTCTGTGTGTGTGTCTCTGTGTGTGTCTCTGTGTGTGTCTCTATCTCTGTGTGTGTCTCTGTGTGTGTCTCTATCTGTGCGTGTCTCTGCGTGTGCAGGCCCCGTACACAGCGTGTCTGTGCGCCCCATGCACTGCTCCCAGCTCTCTGTGTGTGTCTCTGTGTGTGTCTCTATCTGTGTCTGTGTCTCTCTGTGTGTGTGTGTCTCTGCGTGTGCAGGCCCCGTGCACGGCGTGTCTGTGCGCCCCGTGCGCTGCTCCCAGCTCTCTGTGTGTGTCTCTATCTGTGTGTGTGTGTCTCTGTGTGTGTCTCTGCGTGTCTCTGCGTGTGCAGGCCCCGTGCACGGCGTGTCTGTGCGCCCCGTGCGCTGCTCCCAGCTCTCTGTGTGTGTCTCTGTGTGTGTCTCTATCTGTGTGTGTGTGTCTCTGACTGTGCGTGTCTCTATCTGTGTGTGTGTGTCTCTGTGTGTGTGTGTGTCTCTGTGTGTGCGCGTGTCTCTGCGTGTGCAGGCCCCGTGCACGGCGTGTCTGTGCGCCCCGTGCGCTGCTCCCAGCTCTCTGTGTCCTTCTTCGACCGTCTCGCGGCCTGCGGCGTCACTCGTCCCGGCGGCCGCATCGTCGGGCGGCGCCAGCAGGTGCGACGCGGCCTCCTCTCTGTGTCTCTATCTGTGCGTGTCTCTGTGTCTCTGTGTTTACGTGTCTCTGTGTGTGTGTGTCTCTGTGTGTGCGTGTCTCTGTGTGTGTGTGTCTCTGTGTTTACGTGTCTCTGTGTGTGTGTGTCTCTGTGTGTGTGTGTCTCTGTGTGTGTGTGTCTCTGTGTGTGTGTGTCTCTGTGTGTGTGTGTCTCTGTGTGTGCGTGTCTCTGTGTGTGTGTGTCTCTGTGTGTGTGTGTCTCTGTGTGTGTCTCTGTGTTTACGTGTCTCTGTCTGTGCGTGTCTCTGTGTGTGTGTGTCTCTGTGTTTACGTGTCTCTATCTGTGCGTGTCTCTGTGTGTGTGTGTCTCTGTGTTTACGTGTCTCTATCTGTGCGTGTCTCTGTGTGTGTGTGTCTCTGTGTTTATGTGTCTCTATCTGTGCGTGTCTCTGTGTGTGTGTGTCTCTGTGTTTACGTGTCTCTATCTGTGCGTGTCTCTGTGTGTGTGTGTCTCTGTGTTTACGTGTCTCTATCTGTGCGTGTCTCTGTGTGTGTGCCCCAGCAGGTGCGACGCGGCTTCCTCATCGACGACGAGCTGCGCAAGGTGGGCACAAGCCTCTCACTCACACGGTCTTACGTACAGGTGGTGGTGTTCGTAAGTAGAGGTGGTGGTGTTCGTAAGTGGGGGTGGTGGTGTTCGTAAGTGGGGGTGGTGGTGTTCGTAAGTGGGAGTGGTGTTCGTAAGTGGGGGTGTGGTGTTCGTAAGTGGGGGTGGTGGTGTCGTAAGTGGGGGTGGTGGTGTTCGTAAGTGGGGGTGGTGGTGTTCGTAAGTGGGGGTGGTGTTCGTAAGTGGGGGTGGTGTTCGTAAGTGGGGGTGGTGGTGTTCGTAAGTGGGGGTGGTGTTCGTAAGTGGGGGGTGGTGTTCGTAAGTGGGGGTGGGTGGTGTTCGTAAGTGGGGGTGGTGTTCGTAAGTGGGGGTGGTGGTGTTCGTAAGTGGGGGTGGTGGTGTTCGTAAGTGGGGGTGGTGGTGTTCGTAAGTGGGGGTGGTGGTGTTCGTAAGTGGGGGTGGTGGGTGTTCGTAAGTGGGGGTGGTGGTGTTCGTAAGTGGGGGTGGTGTTCGTAAGTGGGGGTGGTGGTGTTCGTAAGTGGGGGTGGTGTTCGTAAGTGGGGGTGGTGTTCGTAAGTGGGGGTGGTGTTCGTAAGTGGGGGTGGTGTTCGTAAGTGGGGGATGGTGTTCGTAAGTGGGGGTGGTGTTCGTAAGTGGGGGTGGTGTTCGTAAGTGGGGGTGGTGGTCGTAAGTGGGGGTGGTGGTGTTCGTAAGTGGGGGTGGTGGTGTTCGTAAGTGGGGGTGGTGGTGTTCGGAAGTGGGGGTGGTGGTGTTCGTAAGTGGGGGTGTGGTGTTCGTAAGTGGGGGTGGTGGTGTTCGTAAGTGGGGTGGTGGTGTTCGTAAGTGGGGGTGGTGTTCGTAAGTGGGGGTGGTGTTCGTAAGTGGGGGTGGTTGTGTTCGTAAGTGGGGGTGGTGTTCGTAAGTGGGGGTGGTGTTCGTAAGTGGGGTGGTGTTCGTAAGTGGGGGTGGTGTTCGTAAGTGGGGGTGGTGTTCGTAAGTGTGGGTGGTGTTCGTAAGTGGGGGTGGTGTTCGTAAGTGGGGGTGGTGTTCGTAAGTGGGGGTGGTGGTGTTCGTAAGTGGGGGTGGTGTTCGTAAGTGGGGTGGTGTTCGTAAGTGGGGGTGGTGTTCGTAAGTGGGGGTGGTGTTCGTAAGTGGGGGTGGTGTTCGTAAGTGGGGGTTGTGGTGTTCGTAAGTGTGGTGGTGTTCGTAAGTGTGGTGGTGTTCGTAAGTGGGGGTGGTGTTCGTAAGTGTGGTAGTGTTCGTAAGTGGGAGTGGTGGTGTTCGTAAGTGGGGGTGGTGTTTCGATTTAAAGCTTCTTTCGTGACTGCAGGGATTCATCTTCTTGGTTCTTTCGGTAAAGTCACGTAGAAGGGAAATAATAAAATTATAAAAATAAAACACAATAAAATAAAATTCTCACGACGTTTCGGCCACAACGCAAGCAGCCGTCCTCAGGTGAAGAACAGGTCTGTCGGATAGACAGCGTCTGAATGAGCACCACCAGGCTTGGCAGCGTATATACTTAAATATATACTTAAATATCCGCTGCCAAGCTTGGTGGTGTTCAGAAGAACAGGTCTGTCGGAAAGACAGCGTCCGACAGACCTGTTCTTCACCTGAGGACGGCTGCTTGCGTTTGTGGCCGAAACGTCGTGAGAATTTTATTTTATTGTGTTTTATTTTTATAATTTTATTATTTCCCTTCTACGTGACTTTACCGAAAGAACCAAGAAGATAGAGGACTACCTCTATTGTAATGATGTTCGTAAGTGTGGGTGGTGTTCGCCACCACCACCGCCGCCACCACCACCGCCATCACCACCACCACCACCGCCACGGCCACCACCGCCACCACCACCACCTCCACCAGCACCTCCACCACCACCACCACCACCCCCACCACCACCACCACCACCACCACCTCCACCACCACCTCCACCATCACCACCCCACCACCACCATCACCACCACCACCACCACCTCCACCACCACCACCTCCACCACCACCACCTCCACCCCCATCACCCCCACCACCACCACCGCCACCACCACCACCCCCGCCATCACCACCACCACCTCCACCACCACCACCTCCACCACCACCACCCTCCACCCCCATCACCCCCCACCGCCACCACCATCACCACCACCATCACCGCCACCACCACCATCACCACCGCCACCACCACCACCCCCGCCATCACCACCACCACCTCCACCACCACCACCTCCACCACCACCACCTCCACCCCCATCACCCCCATCACCCCCACCCCCACCGCCACCACCATCACCACCACCATCACCGCCACCACCACCATCACCACCACCACCATCACCACCACCGCCACCACCACCGCCACCGCCACCATCACCACCACCACCACCACCACCACCACCACCTCCACCACCACCGCCACCACCACCGCCACCATCACCACCACCACCACCATCACCGCCACCATCACCGCCACCACCACCACCACCACCTCCACCACCACCATCACCGCCACCATCACCGCCACCATCACCACCACCACCATCGCCACCTCCACCACCACCACCACCACCTCCACCACCACCACCACCACCACCTCCACCACCACCACCACCTCCACCACCCACCACCACCTCCACCACCACCACCAACACCTTCACCACCACCACCTTCAC